CTGCATTACAGACACACACACTACAAACACACACACCACACACACTACACAAACACACACACCACACTGCACACACACTGCACACATACTGCATTACAGACACACACACTGCACACACTACACTGCATTACATACACACACACACTACACAAACACACTGCACACATACTGCATTACATACACACACACTGCATTACATTCACACTACATTACATACACACATTACATACATACACACTACACAAACACACACTGCATTACATACACACATTACATACATACACACTACACAAACACTGCATTATACACACACTACATTCATTATACACACACTACACAAACACACACTCTGCATCCACTACACACACACACACACACACTACACAAACACACACAGTTCCCCTGTCTAAACACACTTCATCCACTACATGTGGCATGTATATTTTGTGCTTTTACCTTTCGAATTAGTTTATTTATTCAAAATAGTAAATGTACAGAATATCGGCAAGATATCGGCTATCGGCCTGAAAGTTTGCAGATTATCGGTATCGGTATCGGCTCTAAAAAATCAATATCGGTCAATCCCTAGTCAGGAGCCAGGTCAAAAAAATACAGAGGCTCAAAGAACAAACCAAAAAACTCTGGAACCACAGAAGCGCCCAGAGCAGTCAGAGAGCTCTCCTTAAATAGGGAGGCCCTGTACATGATTGGTTCTTGCTTCCTGGGAGCAATCAGTACAGAAATGTAGCACTTACCTGTTACCGATATGTGCCCTACAAAAACAATAAAACTATTTCAGGTGGATCTGAAACAACCAGACAACCCTCAGGAATCTTCATAGGACTGCAGGTTCCAAAGTGGCACAGCAGTTTGTAAATGTAGAAAGTTGGAAAGAGGGGTTCAAATCCGACCAGGGCCAATCACAGAGTGTTTCCTGGCAGCTTGTAATGTTCTTTTAACTAGAGATACCCATAAATTAATAACCATTTGAGGCCTGTGACTGACTTCAGTTATATATATTGTAAAATACCAGAAAACAATCAATGTGTGTCTTTCAGAATCCAAACAACTTTTCCTTATTAACTGTCTACATTGATCACCATTAAAACCACCTGCCTAATATCATGTTCTGTCAAAACAGCTCTGATGCATCAAGACATGGGCTTCCATGGATCAGATTTGTTGTTCCTGCACATCCCACAGATGCTTACTCGGACTGAGATCTGGAGAATTTTTAGGCCAAGACAACACTTTGAGCTCTTTGTCATGTTCAGTTAAATAATTTCTGAAATTTTTTTGCAGTGTGGCAGGGTGCATTATCCTACTGAAAGAGGCAACTGCTATCAGTGAACACCATTGCCATGAAGAGGTGTACATAATCTGCAACAATATCAAGGTAGGGGTATGTGTCAAAGTAAGATCCACATGAATGTCAGGACCCAAAGTTTTCAAGCAGAACATTGCCCAGAGCTTAACACTGCCTCCACTGGCCTGCATTCTTCTCACGCTCACATTCCCATTGAAGGTGGTTTTTAGGTGGTGGACAGGGGTCATCATGGGCACTCTGACCGGTCTGCAGCTACGCAGCCACATACGCAGCACCTTTCTCTCATGGCCATCATTAGGTTTTCAACAATACGAGCTACAGTAGCTCTTCTGTGTGATCAGACCAGATGGGTGAGTCTTTAATCCCCACAAGCATCAATGAGCTTTGTGTGCCCATAACCCTGATGCTGGTTCACTGGTTGTCCTTGCTAGCACCACTTTTGTTAGGTGCTAACCACTGCATACCAGGAACACCCCCACAAGACTTGCCATTTAGCAGATGCTCTGATCCAGTCTGGTAGATATCACTATTTGACCCTCGTTAAAGTCACTCAGATCTTTTTGCTTGCCCATTTTTTAGCACATGAAATTCAATAACCAACTGTTCATTTGCTGCCTAATATTTTCCCACCTCCGACAGGTGCCATTGTAATGATATAATCAATGCTATTCACTTCACCTGTCAGTGGTTTTACTGTTGTGGCTAATCAGTGTATATGAAAATGAACGGTGAAGTGAAAATAACACGTTTGCCAGGTAACTATGTCTGCTTATCGTGAAGCATAATGTATACCTCAAGAGTCATTTGCCCTTCCTTATTGTTTTTGCAATTTTTTGGGTAAGACTGTCTCTTGACAGCAAAATATAGCAAAATTTCAAGTGGCACTAAGATATGTTGCTTAACCCCTTAAGGACCAAACTTCTGGAATATAAGAGAATCATGACATGTCACACATGTCATGTGTCCTTAAGGAGTTAAGGGGGGCGGGACCCGGCTACTGAGCGAGCAGGACGCAGGCTGAGGGAGCTCCTCAACTTGGTCTGTGATTTAAACTCATAACTCATGAAATTCTGGAAAATAGCAACTGCACACATTTTAAGCTTTAGAGAGAGTTCCTGGGCACCTTCTAAACCAACTTTAGCGGACCTTACCGGGTCCTGGAGTTTTCTGTGGCGTGCTGTTTATACCGGGGTGGGAGACGCGGCAGATCTCCTGCCTTGAATGTAAACCGACTACTACCTAGATCACCTTTCCCCCCCTTTGTCCGGTGGGTGTTATCCTGGTCTCCGTGGGATCAGACATCCATATCTGGCACGGCAACGCGGTTTATTCCAGAATACGGTAACCGCACAGCCAAACAGAATGAGCAGCAACACAGAGCTTAGCACGGAACCTACCCTGACAGATAAGCTTGCCTCTATCCACTACGGAAACTGGAGGCGCTATTTGACTCGTTCTGGGCGAAGTTGAAGGGTCGTGGTCAGCCTGAGGCACCTGACTCTCTGCCTAAAGAAGAAGAGAGATGGTGTCACAAGGGGGGTCCATAGGGGTCCCTCACGGACACAGCAGCCACCGAAGCGACTAGTTATGCCAGCAGCTGGCAATCTGGGCTGAGAGTCATCAGGGGCTTGACCCCAGTACACCATCCATGCAGACAGAGGACCATGAGATACCACCAAAGGTGGCGGACCAAGAGCTCGAGCTCCTCGAGTTTACATGTTCGTGGATATATTGTACCTGCTCATGGATGGGGCTGTAGGGACACCCTTCCCTGGCTCCGATATACAGCCCTCCCAAATGATTGTGGCTACTACCCACTCACCATACCTTCTCAGGTAGTTGGCTAACTTTTTATCTAGTTTTCTATGTAAAGTGGCCTATCTGTGAGACGCCAAGACCTTACTTTAATAGCAGCTACCACTTTCATGCATATCATACCTGGCAAAATGTTTCTGGTCCTACCGGTTTAAGCATGTGTCAATTTAGCATGAATCTCATATAGCTGATCTTTCTATTAATTGTCTACATTTAGAATGTCTCATTTAAGCCTGTGTTATTTTTTCTTTTGCCTAATAGCACTCCTTTCTAATCGGCATACTAGTTTCACTCCTGTAACACATTTAGACAGAGAACTTGATTTTCATAAACTTAAAATGGTGCATTATAATCCAATGCCACACTACAGTTATATTGTGTACGTTGATGTGCTTGTTCATGCTGTTGGGGCATTGCAGGCCTGTATTGTATGCACTACAAAAATAAAGAATTTAAAAAGTGTAGAAAAAAGATAAGTTACTTAATAATACAGTTACATTTTGCAGACTACGAATTAAATTAAATTTTTTCTGAAATGATCAGTATTTTTAGACCGTGTTATTAATATTTTGATCCTTAATGGCACATATTCTAAGCATATTGGTGTTTTATCTGCATGTGAGTGTCACAATGCTAATAATCCAGAGGTAACCGACCTTAAAATCTGTCCTGTTTGCAAGTTTGAAAACTGTCCAGATTGCCAACAAATGTCCTTAATTTTGTTTATTCTCCTATCTCGTTATCATGCTGTTCTGACATTTATCTGTGTTTTATGTAATTTCTTCAATGCCTACATTACGGATGAATCATTTTTTAACAGTAATGCAACTCAATAATTAATCTACAGTGACAGTATCTATCATTACTAATAGCAAGGGCAAGTGCATTGGTCCTCAACGACAAACACTTATCTTGGTCAGTGTGCTGTGACAGATCACTCCGTAATAATCTAGTCTCTATAGTAACTGAATAGTCTTCTCATTTTAAAGAATACTATACCTGTAGGAATCCAAACATGTATTAATAATGCTATAGTGTCCTACTAACTATGTATATTGGGCTGCCCTATAAGAATCGGATTTCCTTTCTTCCTGCAGTAGTCTTTCCATGGTTATCTCACCTTCCTCAAAGAGATGCATTCAGTTCATCTCTTTGGCAACTGTTGAGCATCTCCATTCAAAGCATGAAGATGCTGAATGTTGGTCCTACAATTTTTGCAGGACCGAACTCAGGAAGCCCTATAGTGACTGTCAAAGTGACAATGTCAACCAGCAGGAATAGGCTATATGTAATAGTAAGACGAGCTATAGGTGGCGCTTAGGGATGTACAAATATGGTGCTGCTACATCACCCAAGTATATTGTCACTTTATATACTTAAAACAAGAATACAGTCAAAAGATAAGGTGAAAGCACACACAAAAGAAAGTAAAAATCATTACCTTAACTATATAATACACTTGGTAAAAGATGGTGAATTTTCCTTATACAGTATATATAGTATACTTGATAACAGATGGTACAATTTACCTATACAGAGATATAAACAAAACACGACATAGTGTAATCTGTATATATGTTGAATAAAAGGAAGGTTCTGAGCTTGAAACACTCACAATTTTTTGAGCCCATTAAAGTTGGCTCTGGACTTATAGAGCATGTATGTCTCCTTTAAGGACATGAACAGCCTTTCTCCATTGGATGAGTCCCCCGATAAGTATATTTTCCAGATGGTGGAAAGTTGGAATCAGGAACCAAGAGTTCGAGATATCTGCATGGAGTGTGGTGTCCACCTGAGCTCTTTCTTTGCTGCTGCCTCCAGGTGGACACCACACTCAGGCAGATATCTCATTCTCCAACTCTTGGTTCCTGATTCCAACTTTCTACCATCTGGAAAATATACTTATCTGGGGACTCATCCAATGGAGAAAGGCTGTTCATGTCCTTAGAGGAGACATACATGCTTTATAAGTCCAGAGGCAACTTTAATTGGCTCAAAAAATTGTGAGTGTTTCGAGCTCAGAACCTCCCTTTTATTCAAATATATTTACAGATGTTGTGCCTTGTTTATATCTCTGTATAGGTAATAAGCAATAGGCTATATGCCCATGAGTCACTAAATTAAGCTATATTGATTCTGGTGCTTATAGTACCCTGTAATTTCTGCATCAACCTATAGATATGATGCTGATAAATATGTAGGTCATTCCATGCTGACACATGGGACTTTAGACCATATTTTGATGGCGGCCCACATGTCATTAGTCTTCAATGACTTACAATTATATATGTTTGGCATCCCCTCACTCACATAGTTCTCACCTTTATCCTGCACCCAAAATGGTTGTCCATTTGGAAATTCTGGTACTGTATGTTGAATGATCACTGCATGTTGCAGGAAATCACCCCATTTGTTCTCTGCCCAAAAAGATGTTCTTAAACTTCTACTGACAGTACATCTCTAAGAGGAACTGGGGTGTCAATATGCCATAATGTTTTTGAAAAATTCCACTTACTACCTCTGAGTTGGAAGAGCTTACAATCACAGACCCTCTCTTCATGTCTATCAAGATAGCATAATATGCCTAAATCTACTATGCAAATAATGAACCTGTGTTAAATATTTGGGAATTAAACCTGTACAGTGCATAGTGTATAATGTTAACCCTTCAAACCAATGTTTTAGAATGTGCAGCTGTATTGGTCACACAACTCAAATACTGGAATAGTAGCGCTTTGGTTTATACCGATTAAAGGATATCCAATGTCTGTCAACAAACATATTACCAGCGTAGGGCACTGCTTGGAGACTGTACTGTGTATTGCCATTTACATTATTTATTATATTTGTATAAAGGTATACTTTTTTTTTACATTCCAAAATAAAAACAATGATGCTCTGCATGGCACACTCATAATTAATAATTAAAAAACAGATATCTGCTGTTAGGATATAGAAACCAGAAGTTTCAATGTGTTGTGGATCTGGGACCATTAGTTAAAATATTTGGTATATTTTCTAGGGTTGGGGTGGTACCAGTCATTTCGTTGTCTGGGGTCTCATAAACCTTTGAATGGAATGGAAACGTCCAGGTTTAGACACAGCTACATATTAGGGTCTTGGGGAAAAATAGCCCCTTTGTCTTTGCTGATGTTAGCTGGTTCCATCAATGCAGGACACAGAGTAAGAGGTGATGGAGTGTTGAAGACCACATTACTGGTCATTTGACCAAACATATAGGGATTCTCTTTGTTTTCTTGAGACCTCTTGCCCATGGTGAGAATACCAGCGGCTTGATTTCCTGAGCCTTGAAGCAGCCTCTGCAGACGTGTCTGCATATTTAGGGAGTTGCTCTTCCTCTTGCCAAGGGTTAAAATACCTGCAGCATGGTTGCCTGAGCCATGGAGAAGATCATAAATTCGGCATGAGCAAGTCTTCTGGAGGCAGCAGTCAGGTGTGCTGTGCGATGTCAAAGCTAGCGAAAAGAGAATGACCAGAACCAACAAACAGCATGTTTTCTGCACCTGTAAAATAATTTGCAAAAGATTTAGCGGTAGAGGTACCCACAATTCATTGAGTCGATCATCTTGGTCAATGCTCTTAGTGGTTCAATTCAATTTTAAGCTTCAGTTACACATGTAACATCTAAATGTATATATGTAACCATGGGACATCTCCAAAATAAATAGAATGCTGCACTTAACAAAAGTAGCTACATCGATGGAATATTAAGACCTCATTGACTTTATACCAGGCGTGCCCAAAAGGTAGATCCCCAGATATATTAAAACAACACCTTCTATGATGCTTTATCATTCTAAAGACATGCAAAACATCATAGGAATTGTAGTTCTACAACATCTGGGGATCTACCTTTTGGGCACCCCTGCTTTATACTGTCTCCCGCACATTAACTTTTTTCAGGCCTTTTAAAAATGTATACATAAAAAATACAACAATAGTGAGAGTTTAATTCATAACATGATTATATTTATTGGATTTGGCTTGAAGGAAATATTTGCATGTCATTTTGATATAATGAATTGGAAAACAATGTCATAAATGGCTTCTCTTATTGTTTCCACAGGTATGCTTGATGTGTAATCATGTGTAATATGAAATCTGTCCTGTTATTTGTATAATGAACCTTCTTTTGAAATGTCTTTTTTTTTTTTTTGGTCAATAACTGCGAGTGGGGGAAGATCTGGGTGCTACAAACATAGTTTTCTACATGTTTATTTGGGGTCACAAATTTAAATTTATTTAACATACTTAACTATCTTTTATTTAAATATATAATATATAAATATAGATTTTGTTTTTACTGCACCTCCACTATTGGTCATCTAACTATCCATCATCAGGAAAAGCTATTATAAAGAATTTTCCACACTTCAAAACATTGGAAAAGTGCTGTCATAAGTAGGTCTCATCTCTGTCTCATCTCTCGAGACTTGCTATGGTTCCCTAATGGGGTTCACATAGATGCATAGCACTTCGGTCATGAGCCAAAAGCCCGGGGCCGCAAGGATGCCGACAGCAACTGAACAGAATTGGGACAGTTGGGGAGTTCAGTAGATCTCCCTAACTAGTTCACAATAGTAGCTGAGCACTATTTGTAGGCTGTGTTTAAACAGCTTCTTATCCTGCTGGCCAAGGAATGTGGCATTAACCATTCCCTTGGCCGCAAACTACTTCCTGTAAGGTGCTTCCTGTAAGTAGATCTTCCAACGAATATCTGAAATGTGTGCTGTGAGGAAGGACAGACACCAGCATCTCAGCCAGCCATGCACAGCTCAGCATAAAGACAATGAAAGTGGGACATGGGATATACTTAGAAATGGGGAGGAAGACAGGAGAGGAATGGAGTTTAGCAGAGTAATAGAGACTGGGCATGACACACGTAGGTTCTAGTAAAAAGAGAGAGAGAGTGATAGATAGGGGCTGGCAAAAAGAGAGAGAAACAAGTATCAGCTGGCAAAAAGTGACTGAGACAAGTGAGGGTTACTAAAGAAAGAGAGACACGTGAGCAGTGGTGTATTCTGGTTTTGTGCTGCCCTAGACATAACAAAACTCGGGCACCCCTCGCCCCCTTCCTAATTTCTCTTACTGACAGACACACGCCCTCACTGATGCATGCACTGACATACACTCACTTACAGATACACAGTCATTGTCACACACACTGTTTAATCAACACACACTTTCACTAAAACATACACATTCACAGACATACACACTCACTCATTCACAGTTACACACACACTCACATTCACTGACAGACAAGCATTCATCGACAGACAGATACACACTCAGTGACAATACACACATACACACTCACTGACAGATGCACACTCACTCAGTGTCAGACACACACACTGGGACACACATATACTCACTGACAGATACACATATATACACCCAGTGTCAGACACACATATTGACTGACAGACACACATACACTAGCTGACAGACACACTAACAGACATATACATTCACTGACAGACACATACTCTCAGTGACAGACACGCTTACACACACTGACAGACACGCATACACACACTGACATACATGCATACACTCACTGACAGACATGGATACACACGCTGAAACATGCATACACACACTGACAGACACACTCTCAGTGACAGATACACACACACACACTGACAAACACACATACACACTCACTGACAAACACATATACGCTCTCAGTGACAGACACACACACTAACACACTCACTAACAGACACAAACAATAACACTCACTAACAGACACATACTAACACTCACTAACAGACACACACTAACACACTAACTAACAGGTACACTAACACACTCACTAACAGACACATTAACACACTCACTAACAGACACACACTAACACACTCACAATTTTTTTTTTTTTTTAAGTTTAATCCACCTTTGGGAGTGCTGAAGTGGATTCTTCACTGGGGTCCAGTGGGGCTGCTGCTGGCTGGGCAGGCAGGCATGCGGATGGTCAGGCAGGGCAGGCAGGCTGGTCGGGTGGGAAGGCAGACTCATAGTGGAGGTGGCGATGGAGCTCTGATCTCCCTGTTCAGCTCCCTCCCATGCCTCTTAGTGAAGCCGGAGTGACGTCATATTCCGGCTCTGGCATCACTGCGGTGCACGCAAGGGAGCTGAACAGGGGAGAGCTCAGGGGAGAGTGCTCCCTCGCCAGCCCACCTATATCAGCGCATGCCAGCCTAAAAGTCCCGCCCAAGGCAAATGCCTTGTCAGGCTCGCGGTAAATACAGCACGGCACATGAGGGCTGATAAAGAGAGACAAGTAGTTAGGGGAATTGTTGTAATGGGGTGACTTGAAGTGACAGAGAAGAGAAAACTCATTCAGTGATGTCCATTAAAGGCATACTTTAAGGAAAACACTTTGTAGTGATTACGAAGCTCAGAGCAGCTCTTGACAATATTCCCCTGAATTCACACATACTGTTTTACCTTACAAACACTCCACTGCATTAAGACACACACAACACACTATTGTATTCACACACAATAACATGCTATACAAACATACCCCTGCATTCACACACACACCACACTTACACACCCCTGTTTTCACATTCAGATAGACTGCATTCACACATATTGGTGCAAGAAAAATATATATTTGTATTCACATACCTATGGATACATTCCTAAATACAATGACACTCCAAAATACTCCTGTGTTCACATATACACATTTATACATATACCAAAAAAAAATGCATTCAAACACACATACTGCACACAATTACACACACATTGGACTTCTATATACATAAATATTTTGACACTGCATTCAAATTGTCTCCTGCATATATACACATACAAACACATTTTTGCATCCTAACCTTACACAGAAATACACCCACCATTTACAAACCCATACATTATACACTAATATGCCTTTACATTCAATCACAGATTTAAGGACAAAGTATCCAAGCTTTGAGAATTTTTCCAGTTACACAGTTATGTTAAGCGATTTGAAGATAAAATCACAAAATCCAGGTTAAAATAGGCACGATGTGAATATTTGTGTAAATGTTGGACTTCTTAGATTTCAATTCAATCAACTTTTTGGTGATTAAAATAAATTTAATTTATTTTATTTTTATTTATTTTTCACTGGTTGTTAGATTTATTACCCTCATTCATTATTAGGATGGGGTAGCCAGGGTTTTTTTTTTTAATTGTTAGGTTGGCTGAGGTCTTGGGGGGGGGGTGGACAAATGCCAAACCCCATTATCTGTTTTAATATTAGCCCCTGCCTGCTGCCTATGGCTAGTGGATAAGGGATACTGTCTTTTTTATTTAATCGCCATTACCCTTCATTATCCTATTTACATCCTTATTTTGCAAGCAATCCAGCATCTCTGCGCAAATTCAGGCTTGTTCTGAGCCTGCAATGCAAAATCAAGCCGTTAAGTAGTCTGAACAATGTTCGGATTTTGCATTTCAAACGGCCCCGTACAGAGCTGGATAGTGTTGCCCTGCAAATACAGGACCATAAGGACTTTGTGAATAACCCTGCAAATTATTCATAAATATGGTGTATTCTATTTTTGTCCACTAGATGTCGCCACATGTCCATGTAGTGTTGCACATTGCAGTTTGCTTTCCTACTAAACATAGAAACACATTATCTTAACCCCTTAAGGACAGAGCTTCAGAAGCTTGTCTTTCACTTAATGACAACAGCATTTTTTTCATTTTTTTGCAGTTTGCGTTCAACTGCAATTTGCATTTTACTAATTTATTGCACCGACTCATATTATATATCGTTTTTTAAAGGACAGAAAGGGCTTTAATTTGATGTAAGACACACATATATATAAATGCTTATTTATTATAAAATATTACAGAAAAATGCAAAAAAATGAAAATTTTTGGGTTTCTTTACAGTTTTTGCAATAATAATGTGTGCATAATTAGTGCAGGTTAAGGAAAGTAATTAAAAATAAATTCATTTAGTTGTTCTGATTTACAGAATATATAATGTGTCTGGGATTTTAAGTTTTTTTTGGTAGTTATAGGTCACAAAGCACAAGGAGTAAAATAAACTTTTAATGTGGAGCGATTTTAGAATTTGGTATGTTTGTCTTGTAAGCTTAATAGCCATAAAAGAAAACAAAATTGCCACACAAAAGTATATATTTATATAAAGTAGACATCACGGGCTATTTACCTAAGGTTGTTTTGACACTTTCTACGTAGCCATTTCACCGCCAACCTCTGCTAAATATTGGAGTAAAATTGTGTTTTTTTTGTTTTTTGGCACACAAACTTATAACAAAGAAATTCTCATGTGTATTTTGTAAAGTTGGTGTGTGCTATTCCTGTACAAAGTTTTATTTTGTGTTCAGTTACATCTGCTGAGTAAAATGACACCCCCATTGTATGTCTTTGGCACTATTTCGTGAAGTTACAGTGCCATATAGGAGGCCTGTTCTTTTCAGTATTCACAGTAGAATTTTGAGAGACGGATTTAATGAGCCTATGCTTCCATTAGGGGTATTATAACAGTTTAACTGTTCAAAAAAGCCCACAAAGGCCTACCATTTGTAAAAATAGACACTCCAGGGTATCTGATAAGGTGCATATTGTGCCTTAACATGCCCCATTTTTTCACCAATATATGCCAAAGTATGTGGTAAAAACTAATTTTGTGCGTTTTTTACACATGGACTGCATTTTTGCTGGGCATTTTGTATATTTCACATGTGCCATTAAGTTCAAACCCCACAAATTATGCTCAGCTAAGTCTTCTGAGTAAAATGACACCCCCATTGTATGTATTTGGCACTATTTTGTGAATCTACAGTGCCATATAGGAGACCTGTCCTTTTCAGTATTCACAGTAGAATTTTGAGAGACGGATTTAATGAGCCTACGTTTCCATTTGTGGTAATATACCAGTTTAACTGTTCAAAAAAAACCCATAAAGGCCTACCATTTGTAAAAGTAGACACTCCAGGGTATCTCATAAGGTGCATATTGTGCCTTAACATGCCCCCATTTTTTCACCAATATATGCTAAAATATGTGGTAAAAATAATTTTGTGCGTTTGTTACACATGGACTGCATTTTTACTGGGCATTTTGTATATTTCACATGTGCCACTAAGTTCAAACCCCGCAAATTATGCTCGGCTAAGTCTTCTGAGTAAAAAGACACCCCCAATGAATGTCTTTGGCACTATTTCGTGAAGCTACAGTGCCATATAGGAGACCAAGCCATTTCAGTTTTTACTGAACTTTGAATTTTGACGCTGTGTCTATGTGCAATTTCCAAGCATCTTAGCAGGGTTTAAATCCAAATACCCCTTAAAGCCATAACAATTCTTAAAGAAGACATCTCAGGGTATTTCAAAAGGTATATTTTGAACCTTAGCGCAGTGGTGTATCCTGGTTTTGTGCTGCCCTAGGCAGGACAAAACTCAGTCACCCCCCCGCGCTATCCCCACCCACGCAACCGCCACCCAACCCTTCCCCCCTGCTCCGCCTTCTAAATACACACACACACATTCACTGACAGACACGCATTCACTAGCTAACAGAAACACACACTCACTAACAGACACACAATCACTCACTAACAGACACACACACACACTCACTGGCAAACACACACACACTCACTGGCAAACACACACACACACACACTCACAGGCAAACACACACACACCAACAGGCAAACACACACTCACTAACAGACACACACTAACAGACACACACACACTAACAGACACACACACACACACTCACTAACAGACACACACACACACACTCACTGGCAAACACACACACACACACACACTCATAGGCAAACACACACACACACACACACACTAACAGGCAAACACACACTCACTAACAGACACACACTAACAGGCAAACACACACACACTAACAGACACACACACACTAACAGACACACACACACACTAACAGACACACACACACTAACAGACACACACACACTAACAGACACACACACTAACACTAACATACACACACTAACAGACACACACACACACACTAACAGACACACTCACACACTAACAGACTAACACACACACACTAACACTAACATACACACACAACAGACACACACACAACATCCACACACACTAACATGTTGTTTTTTTTTTTTTTTTTCTTATTTAACCCCCCGAGCTTCATTACTTTTGCTGGGGGGGTTCTTCCTGTCCCTGGGGTCCTGGGGTCCAGTGGCTGCAGGGCGGGCGCCCGGCGAGGGAGCTCTTCCCCTGAGCGCTCTGCTCAGCTCCCTCGCGCGCCGCCAGCAGAGTGAGGCCGGAGCCGGAATATGACGTCATATTCCGGCTCTCAGCCTCACTCCGCGGCGTGCGAGGGAGCTGAGCAGAGCTCAGGGGAAGAGCTCCCTCGCCGGGCGCTAGCTCGGCAGCTCGGCATGTCTGTTAGCCGCGAGGCTAACAAGGCATTTGCCCTGGGCATTTGGGGGCATTTTTCAGGGGGCGGCAAAAAAGCCGCCCAAGGCAAATGCCTTGTTTGCCTCGCGGCTAATACGCCCCTGCTTTAGCGTGGGATCATTTTTTCCCCTAGCTTGTACCAAGTGTAGTGGTAATAAGTGTTTTTTCTGCCTTTTTGACACACAAAGTGAGTTTGCACAGTATATTTTGCAAACTTTATGTGTGCTACGACTGTATAATACCTCATATGTTGCTCAGCTATGTCTTCTGAGTACAGCAGTACCACCGTATGTACCTTTGCCAGGTATATGTGGATGTTGAAGGGGCGCATTTGAGACGCAGCCATTCAGTTTTTTCTAACTTTGAAGTTTTACGCTGTGTCCATGTTCCAATTTGGAGTAGTTTAGATGGTTGGTTATTGAAACTTTCCCACAAACACATACTATTTATTAAAGAATACACCCTGGGGTAATTCAAAAGGCATATTTTGAACCTTAGCATGGGATCATTTTTCCTCTAGTCTGTTCCAGGTGTAGTGGTAATGAGCGTTTTTGAATGTATTTTTTTACTTTTTGAAACTTTTTTTACTTTTAAAAACTAGTTTTGAAACTTTTGTTTTGCTTACTAATTTTTTTAAACTTTCCTAAACTTTCTTAAAACTTTTTTTACAGATTTAACATTTTTCTAAGCTTTTTTTTTTACCGTTAACCCCTAACTAGCAGTAAGCAGCACTAACAGTTAATTCCCCATTTCCCCAGCCTGTCAGAGCAAGCACATGTGCTGGGCAGCACTATCGGGTACTCCCGGTCTGCCTCTAATACAGAGGCAGATCGGAGCACCATTAACCCTGCGATCGCCGCAACAGCGGCGATCCGGGATTAATTTTAACGGGTGATGGACAAGGTCCGTCACTCGTCGTTATGGCAATCCTCTGAGTGACGGACCTTGTCAGTCACTCATCGTTAAGGGGTTAAAGGATCACTATAGTGTCAGGAAAACAAAGCGATTTTCATGACACTATAGTGCCCTGAGGGTGCCCCCTCCCGTGGCGCTGAAGGGGTTAAAACCTCTTCAGCAGCTTACCTTAATCCAGCGCCGGGCTCCCTTGGCGTTGGTGACCTCTCCTCCCCCGCCGACGTCAGCTCCCTCTGCCGACGTCAGTGGATCCGAATGTGCATGCGCAGCAAGTGCCGCGCGCGCATTCAAAGTGTCCATAGGAAAGCATTTCTCAATGCTTTCCTATGGACTCTGTACGCGATGGAGATATAATATGCCTCCAGCGTGGCAGATGCGCCTCTAGTGGCTGTCCAGAAGACAGCCACTAAAGGCTGGCTTAACCCCAGATGTAAACATAGCAGTTTCTCTGAAACTGCTATGTTTGCATCTGAAGGGTTAAAACCTGAGGGACATTGCACCCAGACCACTCCATTGAGCTGAGGTGGTCTGGGTTACTATAAGCTGCTCAATTAATTTCCCTGTAAGCATAGTTTACCCATACCATTGACAATTATTCTATATTTTTTTCTTCAATTGCCAATTTGTTACATTTATATCTTCTTTTTTTTAATTTATGGGAAACTTGTCCATAGTTCTGATATAATGTCTACTAGATATTCTTAAAGGAACAAACCAGGCAGCATGACCACTACAGCTGTTAAATCATCTGCAAATGGTTTCACAATTTACCTGAGCACCAGATGCCAGGAACCTCCTCGTCTGCAGTCTGTAACATTTAGAACTTAGCTAAGAGTGCTCAGTTGATGATCTTAGGCTTTTATTGTTATTATTATGCTATTATTTATATAGCACCAACAAATTCTGCAGCCCTTTCTGTCTGTAGGGCTCCTTCAAGGTTCCAGAGGAAAACGTGACCAGCACCTTGCAAACCCCAGGAATATTGTTTCATTTGCAGATTGACCATTTAGTCTGGGAGGACACTAGGGCAGGGCAGCCATCAGGGCATAAGAACCATGATGGATGTCATAGGCACGGCGGTCCTGGGGGCCCCACATTCCCTAATTGCACATATATAGAGAGATTATCGCAGTATATATGTCCACTGTGGCCCCGCGGCTACCTGTTACTGCAGGGAGGCCCAGCACACCATGCCACTGACCACCAGAAAATGTGATCTCCCCCCTCCCTTCCTCTGGCCACATGTGAGATGCAGGGAGAGGGGAATGAAATACAATATATTACAAAAAATGAAAAAACAAAAATATATATATGCTCTCCCACCCCCTACCCCCAGTATTCAGCCCCACAGCATTTAACACAACATTTACAAACACTACATCCTTACACAAACACACAGTGCAGTCACTATACACACGCACACACACTACATCCTTGCACAAACCCACACTACATTCTTACACAAGCACACACTCTGCAGTCACTATACACACACTACATCCTTACACAAACACACATTCTGCATTCACTACACACACTACATCCTTACACAAACACACATTCAGCATTCACTATACACACTACATCTATTATACAAACACACATTCTGCATTCACTACACACACTACATCCTTACACAAGCACACATTCTGCTTTCACTATACACACTACATCTATTATACAAACATACTCTGCATTCACTATACACACTCTGCAGTCACTATACACACTGCATCTAATACACACAAACACTACATCCAATACACAAACACACAATCTGCATCCACTATACACACGGCATCCACTTTACACATTCTACATCCACTATACACACATCACATTCAGTACACACACACTTCGTCCTTGGATGGGCCCTGTGGGTGGACTCGGGGGCAGGCTCTGTGGGAACTCAGGGGCGGCAAGATGGCACTATAGGCACCATAACAACTACAGTGGGCAGTAGTAGCTATGGTACTTAGAATGTCCCTTTAATGTTCTATTTATATCTAGAAGCCTCTTTTTCTACACATATACACTAAATATGCACGTTATGTTTCCTTTAAAAAAGGTTTTTGTGATTTTTTTTTGTTAATGATTTAATGTATGTGATTTTATTTCTGTTTGTAAGTTTCTAAACTTCACAATATTGTAATCTCATTAGAAATATACTTGAAAATATCTATGAACATGTAGAAGTTGAGGTTGTTTGAACATCAGTACTGTAATAGATATATGCATTTTCAGACAAAAATGTTTTAATATAATAAGAAATGTGGAAAAATTGATCCATACTATAAATGAATAGCAGCCATTCTGCTGTAGCAATTACTGGGCTGTATCTAAAGATAGGCATACAGAATCTGAGGCTCTGTTCTTTTCTTGGTACAAAAGTCCAAGTTGTGCATGTTGAGAGCTCAGTCCATGATATGCATAGTTTGGATAAAATTGATCTTTGTAACCAGGAAGACAGGTCACAGAGTTATCATATTGACAGCATGTGGGAGGAGCTACATAGTTAATTTTAAAGACCAGTTGGGCAGATAATTTTAATTTGTTTTATTAAGTGTAAAGTGACTGAATGTCGAAAAAAAATCTTTTTAGGGTACTTCAGTGCCCTACAACACATAAACACTTTTGTAACACCTCCCAGCTGTCAGGCAGACAGCCTTAAGGATTTCTGTCTCACTCACTTTGAACTGTAGTTATACGAAAGCATTGGTTTCAAGCATTATCATTGCTGAGCATCCTCCGCATGTTCAAAAGTTCCTCTAGTGCGCTGTAGTGGTTATGGTGTCAGGAGTGCCACTGAACACCCCCAATGTAAGTAGTCAAACCATTTACTAACAGTATGACAACTTACCTGTATCTGTGTAGAGATATGTAAACCCGCCCAGATTAAGTCTCAGAATATCTTTGTAAATAGTTTAGATTAGATATCAATTTGGATATTTGGAAATGAAAACGGCCATATCCTTTAAATTTGCTAAGTTTTTAAAACCATACAAGACTCTAGATCAGGCGTAGTCAACTTTAATACCTACTGCCCTCTTATGTATCTTTTTTTATGGTAAAATTTCCTTACTGCCCAAAAGATATTTTAGAAAGGAGGGATTTAAAAAAAGATTAACTTAAATTTAAGTAGTTTCCATTTCTACTTAATTCATATTTAGACATATATGATTTAGCAGGACCTGCTTAGATTGAAGAAAAACAAAGTTAAATATGAAAACTAGATTTTTGTTTTTTTTTTCATTCCCCATCAAGTGCATCAGCATCTCATATTTTCCTGTGTGTTACATCATCACCATCAAGAGAGATTTAGCATACAGAGGCATCCACGCAAAACGTGATGGGCTTTTTTGTGAGGTCTTTTTCAATGGCTGGAAGATGAGGTGCGTCTGCTCGGAGCATGTGGTTGTGCTAGAGAACCGAATCTGTCTGTATGTATGTCTGTGTATGTATGTATGTCTGTCTGTCTGTATGTATGTCTGTGTGCATGTCTGTCTGTATGTATGTATGTCTGTATGCATGCATGTATGTCTATGTATGTATGTCTGTATATATGTATGTCTGTATGTATGTATGTCTGTATGTATGCATGCATGTATGTCTATGTATGTATGTATGTATGTATGTCTGTATGCATGTATGTCTGTCTGTATGTATGTATATGTATGTATATTTGTATGTCTGTATGTCATTATATATGTATGTCTGTATGTCAGTATGAATGTATGTCTGCATATCATTATGAACGTATGTCTGTGTGTATGTGTGTGTGTCGATGTCTGTATGCATGTATGTCTGTCAGTATGTCTGTATATATGCATGTATGTCAGTCTGAATGTATATATGTATGTATCTCTGTATGCCATTATGAATGTATGTCTGTATGCCATTATGAATGTATGTGTGTATGGATGTCAGGGTCTGTATGTCTGTCAGTATATCTGTATGTATGAATGTATGTATGTCAGTGTGTATGTATGTATGTGTCTTTATGTCCTCATGCATGTGTGTCTGTATGTATGTTAGTATGTGTCTGTCTGTCACTATGTATGCATGTGTGTCTGTATATGTGTGCATGTCTCAGTATGTGTGTGTCAGTATGTATGCCTGTATACGTGTATGTCTGTTTCAGTATGTGTGTCTGTTAGTATGTATCTGTGTCCTTTTGTATCAGTGTGTGTGTTTGTGTCTGTGTGTGTATTCCTGTGGGCGGTATTTGGAGGCAGATCTTGTGGGTGGTATTTGGAGGCGGGGCCCAGACCCTGAGCTGAGTTAGGGGCCCCAAAATTTCTGGTGGCGGCCCTGCCCACCACCACCCACCATGAAAGTTTGAAACACCCACTAGTGGGCGGTAGGGACCAGTTTGACTATCACTGCTCTAGATGATGTATTAGACAAAACATTGAAGGGATACTTTAACCAAAAAACAGTGTTTTCATAAAACACTGTTATTGGTTAGAGTAATCCTTACTGTGTTTTTCCCATACACTGATCTGCCTACTCTAAAGTTGCTTTTCATTGCTGGAGTCGGGGTAGGGGGGGGGGGTTGAGTCTGATAGGACATTACAGACTCTAGTCACTGTGCAAATTTTAAATCACTGAAGTGGTCATGGTGCTTGGAGTAATCCTTTAATGTTGTTCTAGAACTGTAAATGTTAAGGACATGACTATCGGCGATTCTCCTAGTCTGCTCAGTCTTTTGACAGTTTAAATCACCAGAGAACAGTGAATTTAGAAATATAGAGTATTGGCGTATAAAAGTATCATAACATAAATCTTAAAAGATGGTCATAATCAGGTATTTTATTGTGAATATATCATTCATTAGCAAACTATAAAATGTAGTTGTAGCCATTAAATTAATGCAGTTTGTTTCTATTCTCTGATCAAACAGTACCATATCCACTATTTAGTATTAAATGTATTCCTTCTTGATTTAAAAAAAAAATAAAAAAAAATTCAGGAGAATAAAAAACGAATTGGTAAACTTGTCAGAATTTAAAGGGACACTATAACAACCATAACAACTTTAGCTTGATTGAGTGGTTTTGGTGAAGAGATCAGGGGTTCCCAATTAATTTTTCATGTGGAACCCTTTGACATAGTGTACCAACATCGTGGAATCTCCCAAAAAAGTTAGCACAAACATTTTAATTAACAGAGCGTAATTTTTTCTTTTTTGGCCAATTTTTACAGATAGTAAACACATTGTAGTACTTAGGGACAGATGTGCTTCTGTGTGTAGAGTTAGTGTTTGTATATGATTTTAGCATTTTAATACAGGGATTTGTTTGTATGTTATGCTTGCATTTATGTGAAGTGGTGTGTTTGGATGTACTGTTAGATTTTAAATGTATGTATTTAAATGTAATGTATATGTACATTTGTGTGGAGTATTGGTGTTTGAGTGAAGGGTGTGTTTGAGTGTTTATGTATAATTTTAGAGTTGGAGCTCAGGGGTTTCTTTGTATGTCATGTTTGTGTTTGCAAGGGTGTATCTAAATGTTGTGTTGGTGTTTGATTGCTGGGATGTCAGGCACATACACACTTGAGCAGATAAACATACACACTAACAAACAAACACACATAGAAACACACTGACACACACAGTCATATACACATGGACACATATACACACACTTGCACATACACACACTCACATACACACACTGACAGATACACATCCTGGCACACAGATAAAAACACAGACACACGCTCAGATACACACATTGACACACAGATACACACACTGGCACATACATTGACACACAGGTACACACACAGATACACACTGGCAGATTCACAGAGACACACAGACACATACACTGATACACACACACATTTACAAACACACTGGCACATCCACACATTCAGATACATTGACACACAGATACACACTGGCACATATACACACAGATACAAACACTCAGATACACACACAGATAAACACACTGGCACATGCACACACACACTGGCACAAATTTACATGCATTGGTACACACTTAGATACACACACTGACAAATACACTGAAACACAGATACACACTGGCACACACACACACACACATTGGCACAAAGTTACATGCATTGGTACATACACACACACTCAGATACACACACACTCACTGACAGATAAACACACTGGCACATACCCACTCAGATAAACACACTGACAGATACACCGACACACAGATACACACACTGGCACATACACACTGCCAGATGCACACACTGCCAAATACACACAGATACACACACTGACACACAAACTCAGATACACACAATGACACATGCACACCTTGACACACAGATACACACACACACACACACACACACACACACACAGGTCATAATGTTTATAGTTGCAGTCACCCTTCTATTAGGTTACCTTTTTTCTGCAGGAGGGTGACTTGCTTGGAGTGCTGCTGGTATGCTACTGGCTGAGGCTGGTATGCTGCTACTCACACCTCACTGCTGCCTCTCTTAGCTCGCTCTATGTCTGAGAAGAAGTGACAGGCTGTCACTTTCTCCCAAAATCCAATACCACAGGGACCCGGTCACACTCTTAAATGGCCCTGCGCCTGACCGGGCCCATGTTCAGCAATATCTATCAGAGGGCCCTAAGTGCTTGGGCCTCCTGATGGGCAAATCGTGGCAGAACCCCAATTTTGTTCTCATGGAACCCTAGGGTTCCACGAAACACCAGTTGGGAAACGCTAGTATAGATAATGACCCTGCAATCTCACTTCTCATTTCTCTGTCATTTATGAGTTAAATAACTTTGTTTATGCACTCTCAACTCACTTGCATGTGATCTACACAGTTTCCCTACACAATTCCTGTAAAAAGAGATCTAATGTTTAAACTTCCTTTATTGCACAGTTTGTTTAATTTAGAACGTCTTATCTCCTGCTCTGTTAATATTCTGCAAGAGCCTCCCATGTATGATTAAAGTTCAATCAGGAGCAGGAGCTTGAAAAAACCTCTAAAGTAAACACAGTGTAAGTAGATCTGGTCGAAAATTAAAAATTAAAAATTTCTCGCAGGGGCATGAAAAAATGGCATCACAAAAGTGATTTAACTCCTTAATGGTTTAGAATTGAGCAATAAGACTGCAGGGGCATGATCTATATACCAAAACTGCTTTATTAAGCTAAAGTTGTTTTGGTGCTTAGAGCTTTTAAAAATCTGTTCACTTAACAACAAGTCGTTCATTTTGCAAGCTGCTGTTATTGCTCAATACCTTTCACTTTTTTATTGTCTAACTTTACCCCAGTACTTCCAGATTGTGATTTTCCTTAATCCAAGTCCTAGTCATCCACCTCCTGTTCTATGCTCAACTTTATTTAGCATAATTTTACTTTATAAAATTTGAATTATCTTTTGTAAAGCATCGTGGAATATGTTTGCCCTCTATAAATAATAATTTTATTTATTATTATTATAACATACTCCTAGATCATACATTTGATTTTAAGTCATAAATTACACGTTTTTTATAATTGAGTACCTATATTTTTTAGTGTGTGCACAAAAAATGTATCATTTGCTGTAATATTTCATTCTTTTATTTGTAAAGTATTTTCATAAAAAATGTCTACAAAATATGTATGCGTGCTTGTATTGTGATGATGTGGTGTGTGTTTTGTCTTTACGCAGAAAGATTTTTGACATGGAAAAGACTTTTCCTGGAAGACAGGTTAGCTAGTATAATGTATAAAAGCCAACATATTGCTTAAGTACTTTGACTCTATTCTGTTGAGGTTAATAGCCTGTCTGGAATTGTAATATAAATATATTACTGTCTAGATACGGAAAAAGATAGACTTTAATGTATTAAGTAAAATACATCTGAATAAATTTTATCAAAACTGCTAAAAGATATAAAAAAAAAATCAATTTGGAAAAAAAATAAAATAAAACAAAACAAACATAAGAATCAGGCAATAATTAAGAAATTATTTTAATTAAAACATTCTCTAACCCAAACAATATTTCACATTTTTTACGAGCATTTTGTGATAATTTTATAGTGAAAAAAGGTGTTTATAAAGAAATCTATTATTTATCTTGTTTATATTACTAGTGTCTATTACATTTACAAGCCCTCGCCATCGCTCACCTTATTGCTTAGGCTCTCCATTGTTGAGATCTTCCTTGGAGTCAGCAGCAAAACGGTCTTCTTTATCCCCTCACTAAGCTCTTCTGGAGACAGAAAATCAAATATACCTCATAGAAATATATATATGAGTTCTCTATCTTATCAACAAAGTTGTCAATATATATGAATTCTCTGTCTTATCAACAAAGGTGTCAAGTCTATTTTGAGACCTGACCAACCACACATATCCTTATTACAGACGAAGTCCACTTAAAAAAGGAGTATTTGCAGAGTTCATTGGAATGAATGGAGGACAAAAGATATGATGACAACAATGACATAGTTAGAATTTAGCCACCAAGCGTCTCCAGGATACTTATGAAGCCTCTCCAACCTTAATACGCATGTTCTTTGAAATTATAATGTGCGTCTTCCATGAATAGAAATTTTCTCAAGTAACCTAGAGTTAATAAGATGTTTATGACAGGTGGAATTCATGTTGAGGTCCAGATGCTTCTTAATGCTTAGTCCAGACAGAAGTAAAGATAATTATGAAGAGGAAAGGTAGTTTTTTCTTTTTCTTCCTTTTAAAAAGTTACATTGTTGACCATACCAGTAGCGATAATGATCCTCATTGCCCTATTAGGCTAATGAGATTACTCTTTGGAATGTCTGCCAAAAGAGTTTTTGTGAGGAACCTTTTGCTATGTCTAAACCCTTCGGAATGTAAGGTAACATTTTGAATTCTCCTTATGGATTCCAAGAGATAAGGCGTAAAAGTATTAGAGGGCACATGTGACTTGTGACAACAGGGTTATTAAGACCTCATTATAACTAAGTTGGAAAATATTTAAAAACATTTCTAGTGATATTTTAATTCACTATTTAAAATTTAGATAATCAAGCTTTATATATGAACAGATAATCTTACCTCCACTGAATTAATAGATGAAAAATAACCGAATCTAATTAAGATTACATGCATTTCAGAAGTGAAACTCAATTACCAAATACTCATTTCCATAATAAAAATAAAAAGAATATACCATACCTAATCTTAGTGTACACTTTTATACGTACATGGGATTATGCCAACAGAGTTGACCTCAAAGTAAAAAACAAAAGACACAATAACAGTGCAAAACAGTATGTGATATGCAAGTGGTATGTTTTAATTCTTATAGAGAACACACTCACATTTGCTAGAGCTAACTAAGAGTACTGCTGTTTTGCACACCATCGGTATAACCCCATCTTCATAGTGCAACACAGTATGTGATATATAAGTTGTGAAGAAAATAGACTTTGGTTCGGTATTTTCTCCTATGTTCGGCTTTTTGTACATTATTTGCTGCATATTGACTCTATTGGTTTGGTAGTTTGAAACTACCGAACACCGACCACCCGCCTGGCTCATTAACTTCAAAGGATCCGTCTATTAAGCGCTCTCTCTGGGCGGCCGCTGTTCGTATAGCCGAATGCCATGTGGAACAGAAAACGGCGGCCATCTTGTTCGCACGAAAGGAGGCAGCGGGACTTGGTTGTCAAGTGTCTGAAACTAAAATCGGACACTTGACCGCACGAACCACCGCTGAAACTACCGAATGCCTGCTTCCTTTAGTTGCCGAACCACCAGGAGAGCGCCATTCGGTAGTTTTGTGCGAATGGACAAGGGGAGCAATCGCTCCTATGAGCCAGGAGGATCCATTCGGCACTTTGTTCATTTTTTACCTTTTTCTGAATTGACCAACCGCACACGCTGAATTCGTGGAACTGTTTTGGGCAGGAGCCTCATGTGTGGTCGGTAAAATATGACTTCCATACTTTTTAAGAACCCCTGAACCGATCTGGGTGAAATTTGGATATGTTGGTCTCCCAGATCGGGGCTATCAGGGGATATGTAATTTGTGGGGATACCTTGTGGGGAAAGGGGTGTTCTAAGTTTTGGGGAAATTGTGGGGTTTATTCCTTAACTTATCTCAATATGTCCCACGCAGAGAGAGGGCGTGTATTACTGTAAATCTGTATGTTGATTGGCTGTTGTCTTTGTTCACTGTGGGAGGTCCTCTTGCAGGAGGATTTCTCATAAAAGCCTGTGTGTTTTCAATAAAAGTCATTCCTGTTACACCCTTCATGAAGTCTAGGCTCATGTTTGGGGGATATTCTATTTGCTGGGGAGAATCGTCTTGGAAACTGCATTCATCTACACTATTCCTCTACTCCCTGCTGCAGCTATAATCACTTATGCTCAGCTGTTGGGAAAGGAATAGAAGACTGCAGTACCATAACCACTGCAGGTCTTAACATAAGTGATATGTTTAAATTCTTATAGTGAACACACTCATATTTGCTAGAGCTAACTAAGAGATCTGCTGTTTTGTGCACGGGCAGTATAATCCTGTTTTAGGATATATGTTGGTCCAAATGACACAAATTCTCTAGAATTCTCTAGACAAGATGTAGTATGCAGAATGATAATTAATCAATTCTGATCTTTCACAAGTAGCACCCATCTCTTTCTCCCATATATTTTTAGCTCGGAGTACAATATTATCTTTATTGACTCTCAAAATATCTTACTTTTGAATTTTTTTTTTAGATTTGATCATTATTAAAGAGGTCATCTAGTTTACTTATTGGGGGGTTATTCTTTATACTATTAATATTTACTATATACAGTATATATATATATATATATATATATATATATATATAACTGAAAAAATTCATTCTTTCACTAAATTAGTGAAATGTTTATTCTTGTTAATATTCATTTTGTCAGGTATATATTTTTTTTATTCCAACCAGTTACCACTTTCTTAGATTTACATTTTCAGTAACAACATTTTATTATTCAAACCTAATATATTCCTAATCTTCTTCCAACTGTTTTTTATTTTTATTCTTTATTTTTCTGTGCTTAGAGATACAAACAAGCTTGTAATGCCACAACAGCAAGGACAAGCGTAGGCATACATATAAAAAAAAATCAATACTGTTGCATATGAAAAGACAGCACAATTTTTGAATTTAAGAGGATATACAGTAGACTGTATCTTAGCAAAGATTAGTATCCTCATGAGTTCCCACAAATAGGCTAATAATGCCTCACATTAAGGAAAGTATTGTAAAGTAAAGATTTGAGATAAGCAAAGAGTAAGGGATATTGCAGAAAGCCCTTAGGATTTAGGCTAAGAGCTACAAAAAGGCATAAGTCTCAACTGTTGGGAATATAAGGTGGCATGCTGAGGCACTATGCCAAAAAGAAAGTCTTAGGCCCAGAACTCCATTCAGCTGATACCCTGCAGGGGTCAAACAGATTTCGGCCTAGGAGTTCTCCAGGTCAGCCCAATCGCTTGCTGGCTTGGTTGCAGTTGGTCTCTGCGAGGCAATTAGGTAGGCTTTGTCGGGTCAGTGCAGACATCACAGCATTATATGGCCATCTTGAGTGCAGGCATGAGGGAATAGTTGCGCCTGCTCACTGCCACTCTGGCACGCCATTGGCGCCTCCGCCATGTTCGACCTGGAAGAGTCTTGCCTGCGGCCTTCTGCCCTGTTTCGGGTGTGTGGGTAGTTGCTGTCGCTGGAGCTGCTATTTGCATACGAGCTGCCAGCTTCTCCCAAAAGGCATAAAAAATTAGGTTCAGCCGCTCCTGCAGATTTCATTTCTCAGCGTCTGGGCTGGAAGCCACCATTGCAAGCTCCACATGGTGTTAGTTTCGCTTTGGTACCATGCAACCTCAGCTTGCAGAGGGACCTCTGGGGTTTGGCCCAGGATTACCCCCATCGGTCCAAAGGGAGGGGAATCCGGCACAAGCCACCACCTGACCCAGTATAGTATGCTTCGGGTGGGAGATCGGCTAGCTCTCCCTTCCACGGTGTGCATAGAGCCGCTGTACGTTCAGGGCCCCTTCTTTTTTTATTTTTTTTATTCTTTATTTATTCCAAGACGAGACATCGCAAAACAGTGCATATACAACAACATAAGGTTATGCACAAACAAACATGTATACTGTGGTCATGGCATTATTACATTCGTATAATGGGTAAACAATCCAGGTCGCACAAATCCCGTAACTAGAGACCTCTAACTGAGTTTACATTTCTAAAGTTTTCATCTCTATCTATGGTTAGATATCCCGTCTGGTTTTAAATGGTAGATAAAACATTTAACAGATAACATATGATATATGCCGACCGCACACGTGTTTGCAAACGCAAACATGCAAAAAAAAGGGGGGTGGGAGGAGAATGGCTAAGAATAATATACGAGCGTACGTTTGCTCCTGTGTCGCTATTGTCTCGCACGTGTATTCCCACCATGTACGGTCGGACGATAAGATTCAGGAATTAAGAGATGAAAGAAAAGGGAAAATAGAGGAAGGTGCCTCGAAGGTCCGAGGTCGCAGAGGAGTGGGGTTAGAGGGGGGAGGAGGCGGGGGGGAGCCTGAGTATAGTCGCCCAATAAAAAGACGTCTTAGGGGATGTGCTTCCCTTCCAGCCCTTTCCCCATCGGGAGTCTGCTAAAAACTTCCCTGCTAGCCGGGTCTAAGTAATTCGGTTTACTTCCTCTCTCAGATTTCCTGTGATGTATGTTTGGATGGTCTAGTCTGCCTTTCTCTAATCGCTTACAGTGCTATTTGTCCATTGGCTCCAAATCTTATCGAATTTCTTCATTGTCCCCCTGACCTGTGCTGTCAGCTTGTCCATTAGGAAAGTATCTTTTATTTTTTGTTTTACCATCGCTATTGTTGGGGTCTCCCTCTGTAGCCACACCTGAGCTAGGGCTCTTCTAGCTGCAAGGTTTATTTTTTGTATAAGGTTTTGCTCCATTCGTGTCCAGCCATCCATGGATCTAGACAAGAGAAACACCCATGGGTCAAGTTTCACCTCCCTGTCAAAAACATCTTGCTGCAATGCAGCAATCAGTTTCCAATAGGTTTGTGCCTCCCGGCATTCCCACCACATGTGTATATATGTGCCCTTGCATCCGCATCCCCTCCAACATAGGTCCGTCGGGTTTTTACGCATTCGGTACAGTGTCACTGGGGTGGTGTACCACCGAAATAAAGTCTTATAGGATTGTTCCTGCAAGGAGACGCACACCGAAGATGATGCATCAGCCTACCATATTTCCTGCCATTCTATACCCTTCAAAACCTCATTGAGATCTGCTTTCCACTGATATATATATTTGATATCTCCCCATTCTAGCGTGTGAGTGCTCAGATGGGAATATAAACATGAAATTAAGCCGCTTGGAAATTGTTCCCTCTTGCACATCCTTTCGAAAAACGTTAGCTAAGTCAACGCAGCCGTCTTGATCCGGGAGTCTCAGGCATAACCCCAAAGCTGTAGATACCGGAAGTAGTCGAAGGGTCTTAATGGGGCCCTGCTTGTCAATTCTTCAAATATTATAAATGAGACGTTTTCAAACAGTTTGCATAGTCTCTGCAATCCCGCGTTCTCGATACCCTTGAAATCCCGGGGAGTCATGGGCGATGGGTCGGAGGTCAGGCCGTATTTAAGGGCAGTGGCATCCCAAATTTTAAGGGAGTTGCGTATCGCTGGGCATATCACTTGATCTATTGGTCTATGTTCTTTGGGGGTCCACATGAGGAAATGGGGCATGTCTTGGCCCATCAGGGCGGATTCCAGATCCACCCATCTCCCATCTTCTGGGGGGAGTGCCAATTTGGGCCAATTGAGCCGCCACGTAGTAAAAGTAAAGGTTAGGAAGGCCCCCCCCTCCCCTTAGCCCTATAAAGTACATTACGGGAGATCCTGTGTTTTTTATTCTGCCAGATGAACTTTCCTATAGCCTGTTGAAGCAGTCCCGAATTAGCTTTAGTCACCTGGACCGGAAGAGCTTGAAATAGAAATAGTATCCTGGGTAGCACATTCATTTTCACTGAATGTATTCTTCCAATCCACGAGATCGGTTTATATACCCACTTCTCCATGTCGTTTATTAAATGTCGAATTAGCGGGGCGTAATTTTGCTGGTATAGTTGGGAGGGATCCGCCGTCAACCATATGCCTAAGTATTTGATATGGTCCTTCGCTATACGTATGTGATAAGTCCTCCCTATTTACGCCGCTTCCTCTTCCCCCATACCTATGGGGAGTGCGCTTGATTTGTGTAAGTTGACTTTATAGCCAGCCACCTCGCCGTATTCCGCCAGGATCCCAGTCAGAGCTGCCATAGAAACCCTCGGATCCATTAATGTCAACAATATGTCATCAGCGAAACCCGATATAACATGTTGCTTACCTCCCACGGTAACACCCTTGACATCTGAGGCATCGCGTATTGTTTGCATGAGGGGCACCAGCGAAAGAACGAACAGTAGAGGTGAAAGCGGGCACCCTTGTCTCGTGCCATGGAATGGGATAGTTCGTGCTCCCGAAATCTGGATCTGCACCCTGACGTTTGAGTACAGGGCCTGAACAGCCGTTACGAACTGGGACGGCATGCCGAAGTGATTGAATACCTCAAATAGATAGGGCCAATTGACTCTGTCAAATGCCTTTTCGGCATCCAATGATAGCATCAGTGTCGGAGTGCCCTTTGTAGCCTGCCTCCCTATAAGGGTAATATTGCGTCTCGTGTTTTTGAATAGTTGTCTCCCAGGTATAAAGCCCACTTGATCTGGGTGAATCAGACCTGTAAGGATCTGATTCAATCTGCCTGCCAACACTTTTGCTAAAATCGTGATTAATTAAAGAAATTGGGCGAAAATTCTCCGGGATTGAATCGTCTTTGCCCGGTTTAGGTAGTAAAACTATATTAGGACATTTCTTTATCTGGCGTCCCCCCGTCCATAAGGTTGTTGAACCAGAGTTCCAAGTGAGGCACAAGCTCCTCTCGGAAGGTTTTATAGTAGCTTCCATCGAAGCCATCCGGTCCAGGTGCTTTATTGCTTTTCAAGGTGGAAATTGCCCCATCTATCTATTCAGCCGAGACAGCGTTGCCCAAGGCAGCCGAAGCCGCCTCGTCTAACTTGGGGAGGTGTAACTGAGAGAGGAATGCTCATATCCCATCCAATTCCTGCATTCTTAATCCTCGTAATATGTGTGCCCTGTTGTCTTGGCCTAAGGGATCTTGCCAATAGGGTATCCATCTTGTTAGCTTTTTTATAGAAGGTGCGTTTTGACCACACTATAGCTCTCGCAGTGTCATCTAGGAGTGTTTCCCGAATAGAGTTCCTTACATTCTGCACCTTCGTTAAATTAGTAGGTGTGGGGTCCGACTTATGCCGTTGTTCCGCCTTTCTCAAGACTTCTAATAATGACGACAACAGTTGTGACTTACGTCTTTTCTTCAATGTCGCTTCTCTAATCAATATGCCCCTTATGACCGTTTTATGCGCCGCCCACACCGTAGCTTTCGACACCCCCGACTCTGCCTCTCTGGCAAAATACTCGTTGAGTTCCATACGAATAATCTCAACTATTGCTGGGTCTTGTAGTAGGGATCTATTTAGCTTCCAGGACCAAGGGGACGCCACACTCAGCTTATCTAAAGTAAGGGACACATCCGCGTGGTCCGACCATGTTATGGACCCCACCGTGGATTCCGAGACCATGGGAACAGTTAGGGGGTTTACCAGAAAAAGGTATGTATCGTGTGGTGGCGAATAAAACGTGTAGTCGCTATCGTCTGGATGTTGGGCCCTCCATATGTCTATCAGACCTGACTGTTGTATGAAGGTGTGTAATAATATGTCTTGTCTACCTCGTCTGTGCGATCGTGGGATTCCCCTACACGGCCCCATATCCATCGCCGGGGACGGAGCTGCATTAAAATCCCCCCCCTACTATGATCATTCCATGTGGTAAAGTGTTTACTATGTGGGTCAGCTCTGTTCAGAATTCTCTGGAAGGGTTGTTAGGAGCGTATAAATTGAGAATATGAATAGCTTGAGAATGCAAGACCCCCGACACCAGGACGTAGCGTCCCTCTGGGTCTGCACTTATCTTGCTGACCCTAATTGGACATCTGTGGTGTATGAGAATGGCGACTCCATTCTTCTTATTGAGGGCCCTGGCTTCGTAGGAGGTTCTGAAGGTATGGTCTTTAAGGGCAAACTTTGTTGATTTCGACAAGTGCATCTCCTGCAGGAAGGCTATGTCGGGGTTCATGCGTTTTAGTTCCCTAAACATGAGCCGTCGTTTCTTGGGGGCGTTTAGGCCTTTAACATTAAGAGACAATAATTTCACAGGCATGTTGTATCCTGTAGGGTGTCTCTATATTTAAACATTCTATCATGTCTATTTTTAGTCAGGGTATTGGGGGTGCCCCCTGTTTCCCCCCCAGAGGAGATAAACTAGGGATAAGGACAAGAGGGAAAAAAGGTAGAAAGAGGTTAGAAGAAGAGAAAAAAAAATAAATGAGACATTTTGTACGAAAATCACCTGGACTTACCTATAGCCAGGCGTAATTGGGGTATACGTCCCCTCCCCCCCAGAACGTCAAAAGAGCCCTGGGACGTCAGGGACATGGACCAGCCAATAATGGCACTACTTGAGTGCCAACTGAAACTTTATAGTTAAAAAAACACATTGTATCCTATGCATCAATTCCCGTCGTATAGTTTGTTAACGGCGACCACGCAGGGTTTAACGATTCATGTATCGTAATAGCAAGTGACACATTATCGTGTACAGGTCGCTGTGTATATCTATATCCTACTCTGTTCCCTCTCTCATTTTCCCTTTACCAACGAATCTTTCCTCTCCTTATTTCCTTGAAAAATGTGTCTTCTCTTTTCCTCTCCTCTCCTCTTTTTTCCCCCCTTTCTTTTGCACATACATACATATATACTCACATATACACATGCCTATACACATATATATATATACACATACACACACATATACATATATCAAATCTAATAATAATAAGAAGAAGTAGGCCTGCCACATAACAACATAGGGTCGTAAGAGGGAGCTTTATGACCAGCAATATGAAGGGGCATCCCCAGGAGCTAATCTTACTTTCTAAGCTATTTATATGACAGATGCACCGGTAAGTGTAGCATATTCAACATATACAATAACGGCAATGTACAATCGTGTAATTAAACAGTGAGTCAATCAATAATGCAATCTCGCAGGAGGGGGCCATGCCATACCAGTCTGCCAAAGGGCTCCCCACTACCGGCCCACCCCCTCGACCACACTCCCCCCCCCCCGTCGCCCCGAGTGGGAATTCCTTCAAAAAGGATTCGCCACGTACCCCTCCCACCCCAGGCATGTAATAGGTTGAGTGATGGAGCATATTTCGGGGACGGAAAAGCCATGGTAAGCCTAAACAACTTCCCCTCTGAGCGGCAGCTACTACACTATCCCAGGAGCCCCCCGACCCCCTTACGTTTATATTCTCCCTCTAATCAAACATAAATCGAATCGGTGAGGTGGTACAATTAGGGACACAGTATAATACACGCAAGCAATCGTGGACAGCCACTCCTCTCCGTCCCCGTAAAGATGGAGTCCCAATACACAGTCCTCCCCGGAGGGGGCTGATGACCTCAAGGCGAGGGGTCCCTGTAGCTCGCTTTGTTTATGCCGGTGGGACGTAGCAGTGATTGTAGGCCTCGATCTCCCCAAGCCCCAGAGACCCCACAACCCAAAAAGAGAGAGAATGAGACCGCTCTAACCCGTAACCCAAAAAAAGGAGAGAGAAAAAATCCTTTTTTTCTTTCTTTTTTTTTTAAAAAGAGAAAGAGAAAAATGAAACAATACAGCCCTAACCCGCCCAACAAAGGGTGAAAGCACCCGTCAGGACCCGAGAGCTTCCCATGCAGCTCCAACAGCTGCTCCCGATCTGCAAAACCCTGTGGGGACCAAGCTCCGGGCCAGCCATCCTCTATGGGCCTCATTCTCCCGCCGCGTACCACTCGCGAGGGAGGGGACGAAGCTCCTCCACTGCCGGGGGAAGCTCGGCCACAGTGATCGGATCCTGGATGTCCAGACTCCTCAGGAACTCCACAAGGTTGCCATCCGCATAGAGGATTTTGGTGCGTCCATCCCTGAACGCCAGCAGCCGAAATGGAAAGCCCCAAGCGTACTTCACCCCATGTTTCTGCAGAAGTCCCGTCACCGGACGCCACAGTCTCCGCTTTTGAAGTGTAGCAGGTGTCAAATCTTGAAATAAGGTAAGTTCCTCCTCACCATACCTTATTGGGGCCTCCCTGCTGCGCTTCATGAGGGCTTCCTTCGTCCGGAAATACAGGAACTTAATAATGATGTCCCTCGGGCGTTTATAATCAACCCGTTTCGCTCTGAGCGCTCTATGCGCTCTCTCAATGTACCATTGGTGGTCCGGCACTTCGGGGAGTAGTGGCTTGAGGATCCTGGACACCACCTCCGTCTGCGGCCCCTCGCCCTCCTGCTCAGGTAAGCCTCGAAGCCTGATGTTATTCCGCTGAGATCTATTCCCTAAGTCATCCAGGGCGGACTCCACAGTAGTTAGTCTGGAGGACAGCCGGTTAGTCTGTGCTGTGGACTCCACCCACTGCTCGAGCACCGCCATCCTCGCGCCCAAGACCTGGATCTCAGCTTTGACTTCATGGGTGTTCCTGGTAATCTCTGCGGCTAGGTAACAACGGACCTCCGCTAATTTTGCCAGGATCTGTGCTGTGTTAGCCTCCGAGACATCTGAGTCTGCCGTCATGCCCGGGCTGGGAGGTGAACGCGGCGCCATCGGGCTCTGCTGTCCGCCATCTTGAGCGTTCGATCGCATGGCGCGGGAGGTGGCGAACATATCAGACACCGTGGCACCCTGTTCCGCTGGCTTCTTGGGCTGCTTCTTTGGGGCCCGCTTATCCATGCCGGCTCCCCGGTGTGTTGCCGTGTTCAGATCAGTGTTTTTTAGCTTTCGTTTGCTGTTGGCCTTGTGGTCCTAGCGGAGCTTCACTTGGACACGTCCATCTTGCTCCGGCTGCAGACCACGCCAGGGCCCCTTCTAAGACCATGTCTGCTCAAGCACCGTTGGCTACTGGTAGGTAGTTTAGACCCAGCCTAGGGCTGCTTCACTGTCGAGTTAGAGTGGGAAAGGGTCCAGTAGTGACCCCAAAAACCTCAAAAAGCATTCCCTGCAAGCATGGCAGTCAGGTCCCACCCCCCTTCTTCCAACTTTTTAACATACTTTGTGATTATAGTATTTTTAGTTTTCCCCTAGGCCTTCCTTTACGTATTTTTTTTTTATATCGCAAAATACATGATTAAGTTCCATTGCAGTAGCTGTAGTTTTTTCAATTTCATACCAAACCTCCTTTTGTGCTGATGTTTCATTACTTGTTCATACTACAATCATAAATCTTTCTATTCATTCTAAACATTGGAATATAATTTCCAAATATAGTATATTTGTAATTATTATAGCCAGGGCCGGATTAACATAGGGGCTGATGGAGCTGCAGCTCCAGGCCCAGGCCCATGGAATAGGCCCATTTAAAAAAAAAAAAAAATTTTTTTTTTTTTTTACACACTACTCTTAGGTTTGCCACCTGACTGGTATTTTAATGGCACAGATGGTATTTGAGGCTGCCTGGTCGTGCCGGTATTGCAGTAATACCGGCAATACAAATGCAGGTCATTTTCTCAGAATAAATGGAAATTACTCTGCAATACCAGCACCAGCCAGTAGGGGGTCACTATGTGTGGAGAGAGGCAGGGATAGGAAGTTACAGAATATCCCTGCCTCTCTCTACTACTCACTGATCCGTGGGGGAGCAGCTACACAGCACAGAGAGTCCAGACAGCAGCTCTACAGCTCAGGTAAGTGAGGGATGGGGGGAAAGGCAGCAGGGACACATGGGGACACTGAGACACTAGGGGACACATGGAGACACTGAGACACTAGGGGACATATGGGGACACTGAGACACTAGGGGACACAAACACTAGCATACAGACACTGGGAGACCTGGGAACACTGAGACACTTGGGGACAATGAGACATTAGGGGACACTGAGACACTAGGGGACACAGACACTAGGGAACACATGGGGACACAGACACTAGGGGACACTGAGACACTAGGACACATGGGGACACAGACACTAGGAGACCTGGGGACACAGACATTTGGGGACACTGGAAAACATGGGGACACAGACACTAGGGGACACTGGGACACATGGGGATGCTGAGACACATGGGGATGCTGTGAGACATAGGGACATTGGGACACGGCGACACTATGTCCCCCAGCCAGTGTCCCTAGTGTCTCAGTGTCCCCAAGTCTCCCAGTGTCCGTGTCCCATGTCTCTCAGTGTGCCTAGTGTCCCCATGTGTCCCAGTGTCCCCATGTCTATGTCCACAACTGTCCCCATGTCTCCCCAAGTGTCTGTCTCCCAGACAGTGTCCACTAGTCTCCCAGTATCCCCTAGTCTCCCAGTGTCCCCTAGTCTCCCAGTGTCTATGTCCCTAGTGTCTTAGTGTCCCCAAATGTTTCAGTGTCTCCATGTCTCCCAGTGTGTTCCTAGTGTCTCAGTGTGCCTGGTGTCCCCATGTCTCCCAGTGTCCCTATATGTCCCAGTGTCCACATGTCTATGTCCACAACTGTCCCCATGTCTCCCAGTGTCCCTAAGTGTCTGTCTCCCAGCCAGTGTCCCCTAGTCTCCCAGTGTCCCCTAGTCTCCCAGTGTCTGTGTTCCCATGTCTGTTTCCCTAGTGTCTTAGTGTCCCCAAATGTTTTAGTGTCCCCATGTCTCCCAGTGTCTGTGTCCCTAGGGTCTAAGTGTCCCCATTTCTCCCAGTTTCCCTAAATGTCTCAGTGTCCCCATGTCTCTGTGTCCCCGGGTCTCTCAGTGTCCCCATGTCTCTCAGTGTCCCCAGTATCCTAGTGACATGGGGACACACTGAGACATTGGGACACTGGGAGAAATGGGGACACAGACACTGGGAGACTAGGGGACTGGGCGACATGGGGACACTGACACTGTGATACATAGGGACACTGAGACACTGGGTGACTTGCGAGACTGAGACACTGGGAACAATCCATCTATACAGCAGAATCAAACTGTGAGTAGTTTGTTGGTGATTTTACAGAATTTTCTCTGATGTCACTCCTTGTGATTTACATCATGTGATGTCACGCATAACTAATTATACAAATGATTAAGGCTGGTATTTTTTTCCAAGAAAGGTGGCAACCTTAACTACTCTTCACATACTCTTGCTTAAAGGAGCACTATAGTGTCAGGAACACAATCATGTATTACCCTATTATGTTAAAACCACCACCCTGGCCCCTTCTTGCCTCCCTAAATATAGTAAAATATTACTTGTATTCAATTCTGCAGCTGCTGGCTCAGAAGTGGTGATCTGAGCAAATTACAATACTTCCCCATAGGATTGTCTGAGACTGTCAAATAGGCAGATCAGGGGCAGAGCCAGCACAAGTCCAACATAGCCCTGGCCAATCAGCATCTCCTCATAAAGATAAATTGAATCAATGCATCTCTATGAGGAAAGTTCAGTGTCTGCATGCAAAGGGTGGAGACACTGAATGGCAGTGCTGCATACTAGGCAGTACTGCTCCAGGAAGCACCTCTAGCAGCCATCTAAGGAGTGGCCAGTGGAGTTATTTTCTCTGAAAAAACAGTGTTTACTGCAAAAAACCTGAATGGAATGATTCTACTTACCAGAACAAATACAATAAGCTGTAGTTGTTCTGGTGATTATAGTGTCCCTCTAAGTTTGGAAGCTTAAGAGGGATGTATGGGAACAAAACTTGTGTGCACTGACTGACATTAAAGTTAGTTTAGGTAATGCAGACGTTGGTCTCTCTAACACTGTGGCATGTCCCTTTTCTTCTACACTCACTACAGACACCTTTTCTCTGTCTCAGACTATATACCAGGAACTTCTGCCTGCTAGTAAGAAGGTAAGGAGACAAGTGGACCAGCGAGTGCTAGGGGACAGTCCTTAGAAAGAGTGAGCGCATCATTAGTCAAGGTGCTGCCTGCATAGTATGCCCTTAGTTGGACAGCCTGCAGGATTGGCAGGAAGCCTGACATGCATTCATGCCAGGCTGACCTTCCAATTCTTTGGACAAACATGCCCCCTTTTTGGGCATGTTCACCCCTTTTGGCAGGTCTTGTCACGTGATTCGTGCCAGTGGCACACCCTTTTACCCCACCCATTGACTTCCTGCTTCACTGAACTCTGCTGTTAGGGGTTATGGACTTACTTGAAAGATGAAAGCATAAATTAGAGAGAAATTAGCACAGAGTATGTGTTTTCTTATAGCTGCATCCTATGAATTTCCCTCCAGCACCATCTCCATCAGATACATGACACTTGGGAGGTATGATTGTTTTAGTGTTTTTGGTCGATAAGATTCCATAATTAGGCCCATCATAATTGTCAGCACCAGGCCCACTGTGCTCTTAATCCGGCCCTGGGCAGGAGCAGAGAGTTGGAGGAGGCACAAAGCTTGTAAATGCTGATGCTGCTGTGGCAAGGCAAGCTGGTACTGTTATATGTAATGCACAACAACAAAAAATAATTTAAATATAAAATACAAAAAAAATACACACCAATTATGTTTCTCATCCTCTCATCACCTGTGCTTAAATGCAACTGCAGCAATAATTAAACTAATCTAAACAGAAAAAAAGCAGTGAGTGGGGGCACAGGGTAAAAAAAGCAGTGAGGGGGAAGGCAGGAGCAGTGAGTAGAGTATAAGTAAGTGGGGAAGGCAGGGCAGGGGGCAGAGAGTGGGGGCATAGAGAAGAGAAGGAGTGAGTGAAAGGGGAAGGCAGGGCAGGAGCAGAGAGTGGGGGGCACAGAAGAAGTAGAGAGTAGGAAGGCAGGGCAGGGCCAAAGAGGTGGGAACTCACAGATAAGAAGAAGTGATGAGTGGGGAAGGCAGGGCAGGGGCAGAGAGTGGGGGCACAGGAATAAGAGAAGAAGAAGTGAGTGGGGAAGGCAGGGCAGGGGCAGAGAGAAGAGAAAAAGTGAGTGGGAAGGCAGGGGCAGGGCCAGAGAGTGGGGGCACAGAAAAGAGAAGAAGTGAGAGTGGGAAGGCAGGGCAGGAAGGGCATTAAGTGGGGGCACAGAGAAGATATAAGCAGTAAGTGGGGGGCACAGAGAAGATAAGCAGTAAAGTGGGGGAGAAGTACAGGGCGAGGCATTGAGTGGGTAGTTTTTTCTAAAACTATCCTAGCTGTAGCCATTCACCCAGAAGGAAAGGATCAGGGACTGGATACACTTACCTTCAACTCAGCTTAGAGCTGGCTGAGGCTGATGGGGTGAGGGAATGAGCAGAAGCTCATTCTTGCCTCTTCCCATGCCCCATGCTGCTACCTGCTGCTGCCTCCTTCCTCCCACGGTGCTCTCTTCTGAAGCTGGGAGGAAGTGATTGGCTGTCACCTCCTCCCATCCAGCTAATACTACAGGGGCCCGGTCTGCTCTTAAAGGGCCATGCCTGTTCAGAGACACCCATCGGGTGGCCCTAAATGCATGGGCCACCTGATAGGCCCCTCCAAATTGTTGTGGGCCCACAGGGCAGCTGCTTTGGGCCTCCCAGGAGTAACTGGGCCCAGGGCAGCTGCCCCGTTTGCCCTGTGTTAAAGACGGCCCTGATCAAAATACAGTGATAGTAGTATATATACCCTTACAACCCTCTTCCACAAATCCCCTGCTCAGCCCCCCTTAAAGAAAATCCCTGTCCCCCTTCTACAAACTCCAGCACCCCTCTTCCCAAAAAACCCTGCCTCTTCCTCTAAAGCGAAAACCACAACAAAAACAATTTGGAATATGGCTATGTGAATCTACAGAAAAAACATAAAACAAGACATAGTGTGATATTGTTACAAAATACAATATTCTGTGCGCAGCAACTTATTGAACTCACTAGATGTAGGCAAGTATAAGCACTCTTAGGGTGCCTCCCCTGGTATAGTGGGGGGCCAACCGATCCTTCTGATCACCTCTGAATTCTTATTCCACCAAGAGACATCCACAGGTCAGAGTTAAAATTTAAGAAAATGTATTCAATAAAAAAAAATATATATATATAAATATATATAGGCAGTCACCAATTCAGCATAGGATATGAATTGCAGAAAAAATAGTCTTACACGTTTCGTTCGCTATGAACTTCCTCAGGGACCGAAGTTAAAATAATTACCATGTATCAATACAAAATACAAAATAATCATATCCTAACACAACCCCCTTCCCTGTGTCCTTAAATAGGGCTAGTCCCTCAAGTCCATTGGTGGATTCAGTGGGTGTGTGGATCATCTTCTTTTTTGATTGGAGAAGGAAACCACCTCTAGCAGCTGTTTTTTTGACTTTTCCAATTTGAAGTTAGCACCCTTTTCGGGAGAACCGGAAGTCGTCATCATCGCCGAAACCGGAAATGATGTCGCGGATACATCCGCGTTCCAATATGCGTTCCAGAGGTATTGTCTCCATAGCAACCGGACATAATTGTCTCGGCTAGAGTTCACATAATACAAAGAGAACTAATTACAGCCCCCAAAATTCTGCTAAAGAACAAAATGTTAATCATATGTGGTTTGAAACACTCTCATTTATTGTATGCACTGAGTATTAGCAGCACTTATTATCAATCAAATTACATTAATCCTATTAACTTCATCATTGAAATCTGTAGGTATATTAAATTAATGTTTAACCATAGAAATGATCAAACAGAAAAACTACATAAAGTAAAATTATATTGTACAAATATATAGAAATAGTTCTGATTTTTAGTTTCCAAACCAAAGAAACCTTTATTTTGGGGGTCTCTTATCTTTGAAGGGATACCTCTTCCGAAATATAAAGCATAGAGGATTTAGCCAAAAGAAGAAAAAACATTTTTTTGACCCAAAAAAATAATATTTATAAATATTGCTATTCAGTGAATCTGTAACTATTTATACACTACATATAAACCCTTAGAGCAACTTATAACTGTATAAAAATGACATGAAAATTGCTGCTTATTATGCAATATAAATATATAAACCCTCTTTCCCCATAGGGATTGACCCTCAACTGTAGAAAAGGCCCCACAATGGGAGCAAGCACACATACCTAATATTATCTAAAAAGATGTATATATATATCAATTCCAAATCTTACTTAGACCATATTAGTCCAAAAACCAGATTAAATCAATATCAATATTTAAACCCTTCGGCGTGAGGGTCTGC